AAGCAAGAGAATCTGATTATATAGTGTGTACATATATAGTATGTAACATAAATGACTGGTCTCAGAAATTATTTTGAGAAATGATAATAAAGGTATACTTTCAAATGGCACTCTATTAATAGAATTGGCTTATGTTCAATTACTCCTTATAGCCTCTCCCATATTCTCATCTTCTGAAAATGGTTTGGGAGACAGATGTGTGAGTGACTTGAATATACTTTTTATGTTCATGTTTTATAAAATTTAATAGAAGATTCTAATTTTTCCACTTCTGTATGATAAATCAGAGTCCTCAATAAGTGTACAATGAACTATGCTTTGAGATCTTTCTCCTGTCATCACTATGCCTTCCAGTGAGCTTTTCATGCTAAAAAAAATCAGGTTAGATTACTACTTTCATGATAACATATACTCTATATTCTATATGTACATTAATTTTTTAAAGAATTTTTAAAAGATTATATACCTATTATTATTCCATATCTAATAACATTACTCCTTTTTAAAAAATTAACATCGAGAAACTTCTATTAAATGAAGCATCCATTTTCATTTAAGTATCACAATCATAAAAACATGTACAAGATTACTATTTGGTTGTAGAATATTGAGTTGTAGAATATAGTGTTTTTAAAATCTATAATTCTGAACACTATGCAGGCTGCCGATTTAATGTAAATATGAATGATTTCTTGTAAGATCCGTGAATATAATGCCATAGAAGGCATAAAGTACTTTCGTGTATCATATCTGTCAGCAGACAAATGAAGGTAAAGGTCTAGTCTTCGACAAAATAGCACAATAAAAAAGTATTGTTTATTTGCCTCTAACTAATCTTTCCACTCCTTTTTTCTTTCTGAGTGCCATCTTCTGTCCACTATATCATGGTAGACAGTGTTTGTTTGCCTGCTTTCTAATTGTTCTTTGCAAATGCAAATAAGGAGCTACTATCAATCCTTTATACTTCTGACTCACATACATCAGTGTATTTACTCTATTGCATATGTTTGCATTTAAAACATTTAATTTCTCATGGTGGAAAAAAAGGATTGCCTTTTGTTAAAGGAAGATAATGCAATGACTGGGTGAGGAAGATCTAAACTTCTTTGTATGCGGTATAGTAACAGAGCTATCCGTGATGAGAAAATTACTATAGACTGTTTTTCTTCATTTTTTTTTTTTGGAGTCAGGAGATAACAGAGAGATTGCCACTGAAATTACCATTTTTTCTCCTTTATTTTTTAACCTCCAGATTTGTAGATGTTAGAGAATTAAGGAACCATTTTCTGTGCCTATAGCTTGGCTATCTGTTTTTTCTCCTTTATCACTATAATTACACAATCAAGGGACTCAGAGTTTCAGCTGCTTCAAGTGACTCCAAAACCTCTCATAGACCAGGCATTAGAGGCAGGGAATATAAATTATCTGCTCAAGTTAAAGAATGAGAGATTTCTGGTATGATGGTCTTTCCCAGTCATAAATGACTGAGATGTCAGTTTTATGCCCTGTCAATATGTTACTACAGTGATGTGGGGCTAAAGCCATTCCTATTGTGGAGTAAGAAAATGGGAGAGAGGTGTGGCCACTAAAGAAGAACCTTAGTTGTTAGGGCATAATAATATGCCTACCTAAGTTCTACATGAATGCATGATCTTCGTGGTGATTACTGAAATACTATATTATGATACGGGAGATGCATTAAATGGGGAAAAGAGCTAAACTAAAACTAAAACTATGCTTTGGTTATGTAAAAGAATACTAATCAAAATAAATTATGCAAATTGCTTTACATTTATGCCTAATTACCATTCAGCATAATAATGATCATGTTATTATTTTTGTCAGATTAACTTTGCTAGTAATTTAATTATAGATGTAAACTCTAAATACTCAGCCCTTGTAATTTAGTGTTCTTAAACAATTATTTACTGACCGCCTTCTACATGCCAGGAAACAAATTATATAATGGGAATAAAAACCATTTGACAACCCATGCTCCCACAGGGCTTATAGTCACGTTGAGGAGAGACAAGTATTGGGCAAATGTCAATCAGAGGAACTGACAATCAATATATTTTTTAATAAAGGTAAAAACATGACAAGAATATCAGTCTCAGTCCTAGGGAAGGTAAGGCTTCAATAAGGAGATATCGGAGCTGATTTCTGAGGAACCAGTAGAGTTTCCCAAGAGAAAGGGGAGGGTGATTAGAACTCTTAAGCAAAAGGAACAGGAAATGCAGTAGCCTCAGAAAGGAGACACTGAGTTTGATGAGCTGCTTAGTTGGAACACAATGCAAGAAGAGTCCTGAGACGATGAGGCTAGTGAAGTAAGAAGGAACCATATCCAAAGTGGATCTGAATATCATATTAATGCATTTGACATTTTATAGTAATGGGGAGAACTACTGCAGGATTTCAGAAAGGAAAATGACAAGATCAGATTTACATTTCAGATTAGATTTGGTTTTACTAGAGAGAGTGAAGAAGTAGAGCTCACACCTGGAGACGTACAGGGCCATTAGAAGCCAGTTGCAATAATTTAGATGACAGATGCTGGTGGCTTAGATTAGGCTATTAATGACGGAAATAATTGGATGGACTTGAGAAATATTTAACAGGTCCAACTGAAATGTCTTACTGATAGATTGGATATGAGATAGAGAAGTTGGAGATTAATTTCTGACTTAGGCAAATGCATGGTGGTACGTATGGTAATTATTAAGATATGGAAGAGAAGAAAAGAGGCATGTTGCTGGGTTTCTATTTGATTTTTTGTTTTATTAATGTTGGTTGGGTGGGAGCAAGAGAGCATTAGAAATTATGAGTTTATGGTAAATTGAGTTTCATGTGTCTGAGGGGCTTCCAAATGGAGATCTCTGATAGGTAACTGAATATATAGGTCTTAGACAAAGGAGGAAGATCTGAGCTTAGATCTATATTTGGGAGAAAGCATCTTATATCAGTTGAAGCCATCAAAGAAACAGAGAAAAGAGCTAACATCAGTAGCCTAAGGAAACCCAAAATTTATGGGATGAGCTGATTAAGAGCAAATTAAAAAAAATAAGTAAAAAGAAATCCAGGAAATCAAATATATGATCATAAAAATCAAGAGAAGAGGATATTTTAAGAAGAAACAAGAAGTCAACAACGTCAAACACAACAGAAAGTGCAGAGCTGGTATAGCCATTTTAGAAAACAATTCAGTTTATATATCAAAATGTTTGATCTTCAGTTCCACTTCTTGATATTTAAAGCAAGAAAATTTTTAGCATGTGTGTCCAATGAGACAAATTAAAGGATAATCCGTAAAAGTAAAAACTAATAATAATAATAATGTAATTACTTAAAAATAGAGAACTAAATAGAATATGATAGACTGACCCTATTGAATATTTCACAGAAGTTGAAGAAAACAAAGTAGATCTATAAGTAAAAAGACTTTAAGAAATATTAAATACGAAAAAAGCAAGTTTCAGAAAAATATATACATAATGACAGTTATTTTTTAATGTATCTCTCTATGTATATGTAGTTGTAAGAAAAACTATAGAAAACATTTGGGAGAGTATATCCAACCTTAAGTCCAACAGTTAACTCTGTGAACAAAGCTGGTATTTGGCTGGGTGTTTGGCCAAGGGGCCTTTTGCTTCATTTGTATTATCTGAATATATTACAATGAATTGAGACAAAGTAGCAGGAAAGCAGTACATAAAACACAGAAAGCTTGGTAATGAACAGGAAGAAAAAGTAAAAGGAGGATTTTTCACGAGAGAGAGAGGAAAAATAATATTCTTTATAATCCTGGTTGCTTACTCACAGCTTAAAGAAAAATATTAGAGGTCACAATGCTAATAAGCCATCAGAAGATTTAGCGTCTGTCTCAAGGTATATAAGGTCTAACAATAGCAAGGCCCAGAGAAGCAGTAATAATCAACTAAGAAGTCAGATCAGGAAAGTTTAGGTGAGAAAGAATATGCAGAGCTCATGCTATGCAATACTCCAAAGCTGATAACCAAAGAGAAGAGAAAGGTGATATGGAATTCTCAAAATATCTTAGGATTATAGTATATGAAAGGCTACACTGGAGGCATAAAAACAAATAGTCTAACTGCCTGATGAGAAATGTTTAGAATACTCTGGTAGGTACCACCAAGAATCACCATAATGAGCTGATATATCACCTGGTACAAGAACAAGACTATGTATTAGTACTGGCTGTAAAACTCAGGTAATAGCATATTTCATTGTTGTAAATCAATCAGAAGTAGGAAGTAAAGCAAGTTGTGAGCAGTGCATAGACCTGTCACTCATCCTCATTTCACATGTAAGAAGTAATGAGTGATAAGGCATCATTTAATTATATTTTAAATATTCCAGATAGTCTGTATTTATCATTAAACAATAGGATTACTTGGGAGGAGGGTATAAGCACAAATATTTTTTTGAAACCAGGACAAGATGTCCCAAAATGCCTTTGTTATGAAGGAAACCAAGTATCTCTCAGTGGTCATGTGCTTCTGGAAAATTCTTAGAGGGGAGATAAATGCTAACAATGAACTACCACTTTCTAGGAGGCTGACTCAACCAGAACAATGAGTCCATTATTTAAAAAAAAAAAAAAAATGCATCTTGGTCCCAAGCTTCTCTTACAGGGGAAACTGCTCAAATTCTGGTGAAAGAATAGGGTGATGAACCCTAAGCTTGAGATGGTCTTCATATAAACAACTAATTTTAAACCAGAGTAAAATCATCTGTGCCCTTTAAAAGACAATGCACAACAAAGCTGTATTTCACTGACTGGGCAGGGGCAGAGGGGACATTACAGCATGAGGACTGAAAAGAAAGAGGTTGAAAATTTTCTAGGCGCAGTCTCTGGAGGAATAATTACTGACACTTACACAGAAAACCCTCCATTTGGGGGCTTCCCTGTGTCATGTTTTGTTATGCCTATTTAAATTACATTAGAAACCAAAATAAACATTTCTATTAATAGCCCTTACCTTATGAGTTCTATTTGTAAAACAGGCAAATTCCTCCTTTGGCTTATCCTACAGGCTGCCTTCTGAGAATCAGAAGAGAACAACCAACTTCGATCATTTGAACATGGAGCATCAACTAACACCTAGAGAAAAAAGGGGCACATAATGCAAAAATGTGCTAAAAATATATTCTCAGATACAAAATATAGAGGGAAGCTATGTAAAACATAATAAAAAAAACAGCAAATAAAGACATTTCTTTTAAAACCAAAAATACATCATGGTAAGTACTTCTTTATAGCATTTCTTCACTAATACTTTTCAGAAAAATTTCCTGTGCACTTTCAGTGTTTGTTTTTTTTGGGAGAGGGGAGTGAAGGGGTAATGGGAGGACTAAAAGTCTAAAAATGTCTACTAATATTTCATATTTTTAACTATTATACAAAAACTTTTACAAAAGTTACTCATTTTAAAAAGACATTACTATTTTTCTGAATTCTTGGTATTTACCATTTCAATTCAGTTTACTGAAATGCTCTCTTTTTCTTCAACTGCTATACTCTTTTATATTAAAGCAATACAGTATACATTTGTGTACTGACCCAAATAATATCTGATTTTTTCCCAAGTATCTTTGAGGTACCTGGAAATAAAAAATATATATATTCTATAATCTCCAACTCCAGTGTTATCGCTTCCTTTGAACCATGCTGACCATCAAATAAAAAACACTTCCATGTTCACTTTATCATAATTTCCCAGGGTACTGAGAAATTGTATCAGGCTCTGTCTGGAAGAAGATGGAAAACAACAAAGAAACATAATAGTGGTATTATTGGGAGTCCATCAGTTTGTCACAATGTAATAAAAGTACCTTGTCAAACTTTTCAGGCTGGGCATCTCCCACTTCTCTGCCATCCAATTCGGACACTTTAATTACATTTACCAAAGGCTGTGGGATGAAAGATTCTAATGTCTGCCTCAGCCACCTCAATCTCAGACTATCGTATTCATTACAATGAAGATAACCTAAGAATAGAGAATTAAAACATTGTAAAATGAATGCAACGGAATTATTAAATTTCCACTTTTGATCAAATAAATTTCAAAAATAAATCAATTTATCATAATCATGCATAATTATGCTTTCCTTAAAAACCAAATAAATACACACGCACTATATAAAACATTAATAACCATGCTACGCAAACTCTCAGAAGCTCTTACCATTTATTCATTGTGAAAACCTTTAGAGAATTATGGATTCCTAAAGATATGCTACACAACCAATACCTCAGATGCAGTCCTTCTCTAAAGCTCTTAAGAATAAAATTTTATTACATATATAAAGATCCTTCCAGGACAGAATACCTTCATTTTAAATAAAAGAAGGAACACGGTATGTGGGAGGAAAGCCGGTAAAGTGCTGTTGGCTCTATGGTTAGAAAGAGATGGGCTCAAATTATAAGCCATGAGACTTCCGTGGGTAGTGTACAGAGTATGGCTATTCTAAACAAAGGGATGATTCACATCTGGGGCCGGACACAGCAGGATTGCACAAGAATTCATCATGCTACTCAAAACACATAGAACTCACTGTTTATTTCTAGAATTTTTCATTTAATATTGACCACGAAACCACGGAAAGTGAAACTACAGATAAGGGAAGACCACTTTATAGAAGGCACTTAGCAAATAGTTGTCTCCTTAATAAAACAGCTGTTTTAATTTTTTCTTTTTAAAAATATACTTATATATTTATATTTTATTTATTATATGATAAAAACTATACATAATTATATAAGACATAAACACAAGCATATTTTTTAAAAGTATATAGGAAAAACATCAAAAATTACTTGAAACTCATTGTCTTCAGATAACTGCCATTTAATATTTTGATAACCATACCATATCTTTACGCATATACCAGCTTATAAAATTTACATAAATAAAATTATATATTTGTAGGGTCATTTTTTTCACCTCATTCTTCATCTACCCCTTCTATCAACTCCTCCATCAAAATGAACCTATATTATCAACCCAATATATGTGTTTGTGTATATGTATGCATATATATATATATGATTATGTAATTATGTACATACTCAGGATTATATTTACACACTTCTCTGCCCCCTTACTTTCTATATATGCCAATACTTCAAAGAAAATACCACCAAGTCTATTGGTAGAGATATAATTTTTAAAGGCTTTTAAGTAGTGCATGGAATAGATGTGTCATCCTTTATTCAACCACTCCCGATTGTTGGGCATTCACATTGTTCTAATAACAACATTTAATAAACATCTTTATAAAAGCTGTCTTTTCATAATGTCCTTTTACTATGAGGGGACAGTACCAGAGGAATGAATAGCTGTAGGTAGGGGAATTTTTAGTTTTATTAAATACTACCATCTTTCACAGAAGGCCTTCCAACAGTCCACACAGGTGGTGGTAATTCAGGCTCAAGAAGATGAGACTCATACTGGGCAGGTCAAAGAGCTGCCCTGCCTTAAACGCTTCTCATGTCCCACAAGTGCTGACATTTCTTCTAACAACTTCACAGACAGAGCTTCCATGGTCCCCACGACAGACATGCTCAATTACAAGGATCTCTGCACTCAGGAAGGCCCAAATCATGGCATTCCCAACAGGTCTCTAGGGTTTATTTATTCTTTTTCCCAGTGATATCCATTGTACCAATCAGGGACATTTTTATCATAAGCAATGTTTCCTGGAAACATACTGATAATCTCTGTCAGGTACCAGGGAAAGAAAGAGAGAGAACTAAAAGTGAAATTCTAATTTAGAGGGGGGAAATTTTTTTGTAAACTCTTTGCTCAGATACATAAATTTATGTACAAATATGTGTGTATACATCTATGTATCTATCTATATCTATACAGGTAGTTTTTTTCCGATTTGTCACTCCACTGTTAAAAACGTTTAATGACTTCCTATCATCCATTAAATAAAGTTCAAGTGTCTCTATCACTGCTTACCAGAATACTAAGAGCCTCAAGGAAAATAACCATGTCTTAATTATCCTGCAATCCATTTCTCCTTTTTTGGTTTAAATAGTTTACATTCTATTTCTATTCTTTTAGTAGTAACCCTAAAGGTTTTAACATGGATACGCAAAAGAATAATCTAAATTGAGTCAATCTTCACCATTTTCCCTAAAAGATACAAGAATCTTATAATCTGCCCAGCTTAGATGCTATTGTTATCATATATTTGGGTTTTATTTGGGCTTATATTTTTTAACTGCACAAAACATTACTGTCATTGTCTTCTACAGTCAATGATTATTAGATTTTTCTATATATATCCCACTTTCTTTTCATTTCTCTTTTATCTTCTATCTTCCAACTAGGGCGGCTTTCCTTTTTCCCAAAGCGCATCCTTCAGAATTGCTGGTGACAAACTCTTATACTCTCTCAAAAAAATGTCCATTTCACTTTTGTTCTTCTGAGATATTTAGGTGAATATATTTCAAGATTCACGGCCATCTTTTCTTAGCACATTGAAAACATTATTCCTCTGAATGCTGGTTTCCATTGTTACTCTCAAAGTTTAACCCTCAGTCCAACTGTCGATTCTTTGATGGTAGACTGTCTTCTCTGGCTCCTTTTAAGATCTTCTCTTTATTTTCAGTGTTCTGCAACTTCAGTATAATGGTGTATGTTGGCTTAGTTGTGGTTCCAAAATTTCAGAGAGTATTTCCAATCCTTCCTCCCACTGAAGTTGAAGATTTTCCTTTCAGTCCTTGGAGAGGACAATTTCTTCCTAGTTTACCTTACATGGAGGGAATAGCACTACAGAGTCTCAGCTTTATTTAACTTAGTCTCCTAGTAGATGTTCTACCTAGCCAGGCTCTGGCTTTATCTTCTATTCTCACATTTTCATGAAGTAATGAAAATCAACATGCAAGTTTTTCAGGTTAAGCAAATGTGCTCAAGTCAAAAGCCGACTTCAACGCTCAATTTACCTTCTAGGTTCAAACTGTCTATTAGATTTTGGCCACTGGGATTTATTCATTTAAAAATATTTTGTTTTTCATTAATATTCTATCCTACATTTTTTGTTTTCAGCAAGAGGGTTGGTTAGGATATCCAGTCTACCACAGAAAACAGAAGTCTTAGTCATTTCTATGTCCCTCATAGCTCTGTATCTACCATCCAATGCCTTGCTCATAGTATGTGCTCACTAAATGTGACTGACTTGATTCGCAACATGCCATTATGATAAAGAATACTTAAACTGCTACAACTGAAAATCAGGCAGCTTTTCATTAAATTATAACTTTAGTTATAAAAAATTAGTAAAGATTCTCAATTCAGCATAAAATATCCCCCAGTTGAAATAGAGCTTTATGATATATTGCTGTTTTACTTAGATGTCGATTTTATTTGAAATAGTCTCAGGTTAGTTAAACTTTTTAAAATATGTACTATAAGGCATCAAAATCCAAGTTTCATATAGATACTGAGACTTACTACATTGAGACAGAATGAATTTCATGCTTAGATTGTCAAAAATAAATGAAATTTTGATATTTTTTCATCTTAGTAGGAAATGGGGTGAATTTATCAAATTCCTGAAAAAAATCATCTGTACATGACAGCCTTTGGCCCATGGAAAGGAACCAAAATTAGAAGTTCCATTCATTCATTTATATTGGTAGATCTAACTTAGGAAAAAAAAAAAAAAAAAAAAAACAATCCTACTTGCCTTAGTTCTGCTAATTATTTCTTAGAGCCATAAGCCATAATGATTGGTTTACATGTCCTTCTCAATGGAAAAATTGGAATAACGATACTGTCCACATACTAAAAGTGCTGTAAAGGCTAATGGTAATATTCTTTGAGCTAGCTGGAAACAATGTAACAAATTCATAACAAAAACAAAATGGTAACAATGAATTTGATAAAACATGGTAGACAATAAATTAAAATACACTTGAGAGTATAACCACTTTAAGGTTCCAGTTTATGAAGCCCCGGTTATGGACTGGACACCATGCTAGTTGCTATCGACACAAAGATAAGCCTTAAGAAGCCGTATAATGGAGGACATTGGACAAGGCAGCAGTTGAGTTATACTGGGGGAATGTAGAACAGAATTAAGAGCTAATATATTAGTGGAAAATTTAAGTTCATATCCCAGCTCTGCCACTCATCCAGGGCAATTTTTTTAAACTTCCCTTTGCCTCAGGTTCAAATAATGGGTTTGAGTTCAATGAGAGTATGTACACCAATGACAGTCACACTGTGTTCTTCAGAGCCCTAGGACTTCGGAAAGATGTTCATAAGGAGACACAACCCAAGGTGCTGGAAGCAGACTACTAAAAATATTTGAAAACAACAGGTGCATGCAATGTAATTAATATAGTCCTTGGTATGTACCAAGTGTTCCAAAATGGTTATTATTTTTATTATTACCACAAAGGAAGGCTTTACCACAGGGAATGCTTTCCAGGAAAGTTGCTGAGTGAAAACCTAAAGAATGGAAAGTAGAGGAGAAGAAAAATGGTACCTATATTATGCAAAAAGGGCCTGGAGGTCTGAGGGAACTGGAAAGAGGGCAGAAGCAATTCAGTAAAGAAAGGAGTCTTTCTAATCTTCTCTGCCACCAAAGACTAACTTGATGTCAAAAAGTTATCACTGCCAGTAAGGAGAATTTCATGCCTAGAGGAATACAGCTCTCAGCAAGAAAGTTAATCAAGCCACTCCACTAAGCTAGGTCATTCTTAGTATATTAATGTTTTCCTACTTAGAATCTAAATTGTTTGCTCTTTTTCCATCAAGACCAGGGCATGTCAAAGGCTGGATTGACAAGAAAGCATAAACTAACAAAACACAATGGACAGTCCATCACTGTGCTAACAGGTGGGAGCAACTGGACCAAAAAGAGAAGTAGAATAATTTTTTAAATCATCCTGAAACATGAGCTTTTTAATCATTTAAAGCTGTGAGCCTCTTGGCCCAGAATAAAGGCCAATAGTGATCTAACAAAATTCGGTGTATAAATGCACATTTAGTGTAGCCATCGTTTTAAGCTTTGCTTATAAAAGCTTTGATTAGCATTGCTTCTGCATTCCAAATTCAAGCACTGTAGCTAATCTAATTTGGGCTCTGAGCATCAGCATGAAGACATCTGTACTTCTTAGTAAACCATTATCATTAGTCCCACTTAGATGAAAAGCTACTTTACTTGGAACGCTGCCTGTAGTTCATTGCCCTTGATGTAAGAACAAGAAGATTCTTCCCACTTCAAACTCCTAAAACATATCAGTTTTCCTTTGGATTCTGAATCAAATAATCTTCCTTATAACAAATGTGCAAAATATTTATAGCCTACTAATAAGAATAATTCAGGATTAAAATGCCCTCTCTTCAAAATGGTACCCAAAATTGGCATTTCTCTTCTATCTTTTAAAATACTAAGAATTCTATTTTCAAATTTGATATAAAAATCAAAATAAGAATACTGTCAAAGAATACGAAAAGAATGAAAGTAAAGATAAATATTCCTTAGGACATGATTCCATAAAACTTCAGCTCAAATTATAAAAATAAAATAACTTTATAAAATAATCTCTTTTGTTGTGATTTCTCACATGAAAAATACAGCAAGTTTGAATAACAGAGTTTAAACACAATTCTGAAACACACGGAATGTTTTTCCCCTAAATATATAGTAAACTGATATATTTATAACAATGCCTAGTATAACTGGATTCACAGTTCTCATAAAAATTTTTTGTAATCTTTTTCAACAGGAAATACTCTCAAATGGAGATATAAATTAGGAGCCTTCAAATTGGGATATGCACACCCTGGGGATATAGAACAACTTCCTAAGGAAAATGAGGGCTTGGACAGTTTCAAAAGAATCAATTTTCAGATCAACTTCCTAGAGTTGGGCACCTTTCACAATGGCCCTTCACCAATGTTACGAATGAGGAGTAAGCTTCCCACCAATCCAGAATCATATTTACAAATTGTGCCAGGGTGTAGAAACCTCCAGTGCACAAAGTTCAACACATTGGTGCCTTGAATGAGTCTAACAACCGGGCAACAGACAGAACTTATTGTAACTGAGATGGTTCTGATCCTTTGCCTTCAGCAAAATCAAAAACCACTGATTAGAGAATGCTCACCTAATCACTGAAATAAGGCCTGACAAAGAAACCTGTGATTTGGGGTTATAACTCAGAAGTTTAAGGAACTAGTGAAATTATTATTAACATAAGTTAATAGTAATACTATTAACGTAAGTTCCATTTCCATTTACCTATGTGAACAACAGCAAAATCAAACAAACAAAAATCAGAGAGAATTGATGCTGAACACTACCACATCTAACCTTAATTTATATTCATTCAGGGAAATATGACCTAATTAAAAAAAAAAAAAAAAAAAGCCAGACAGCCTCATTAAGAAAATAATTTAAGATGAATATTGACCACTTATTTTTAACAAAAATTTATGAAAATGTACATTACATACATTTCATCATTTTTATACTAATAATAATGGTAATGACACATCACTTTAAAGGAACTTTTAAAATCTTTTATTGTCCAGTACTATAGTCACTTGCCACATGTGGCTATGAGTACTTTAAGTATGGCTAGTTAAAAGTGAAATGTGCTGTGGTGTAAAATATAATTTTGAAGACTTTGTAAGAAAATGAGAACGTAAAATATCTCAATAATTTTTATTTTGATTACATGTCGAAATAATATTTTGGATGTATTGTGTTATAATGCATTACTAAAATTAATTTCATCTGTTTCTTTCTAACTTTTTCATGAGATGGAAGGAATCAGTGTTTTGCCACCCTAAAACTGCCGTTTGGTATATTGATTTTAAGCTGGTTATTAAGAAACAAAAGACTCAGAAAGAATGTTTGATCCTCCCCCTTTCCTATCCAAAGATTCAGACAGAAGGGCTCCAGGAAAGAAATTTAGCATACTCACCTTAGCCAAATTTGAATTAAGTATGGTAGATAAGGCTCCAACAGAGGCCTGTTAACTAGATCACCCCTTGTGTCCTATTGTTTCCGGGTTGCCAAGCAAGAATTTGCAGGCCATGTGTGTCTGATCTTCCTCAATTATCAGTAAATTGCCTATTTCCTTTGCAATCTCAGATCCCTGCCCGCTTTCTCCTCTGTCCATTATGACACATAAACCTCAACTGCCCAACACCTTTTGAGGTCTCTAATCTTATGACACCCGCTGGTCATTTTTCTCCTGTTAATCTGTCCCTGTTAATTTGATTATTAGCCAGGAAAAAAAAAAAGGGTTGTTTTTTGTTGTTTTTTTAGCTCCCACAGAAACTATACAAAAATTTAAAATTATATATAAAATTCACATTATATTTCTGTTGGACAGAACTACCTTAGAACCTTATGGTCTGATGATACAAAAAGTGATTGATTTTAAATGTATATGTTTCTGTTGCATGGAAGTATGACAAGGATATCAATATGACTCATAAGTATAAAAATAATAAAATTTAAAAATCTTTGTCACTGGCTTAACAGAATTTGTATCATCCGACAGATTTTCATTACCAAAATGTAGTTTTGTTCCCAATTACCTGGTAAAACTACCTGGAAGAAAAATGTTACGTTGATTTCCTCAGCTATAATTTCCATTCTCTCTGTACTGCCCTTGTTTTCAGGCTTTCGAAGTCGACAAACTCAATCTTGTATTTCTCCCCATATACTTTAAAAGTATTTTATAACAAAGAGACATTTAAAAGTGGTCAATTACTGAATGAAAAGGACACTACCTGGATAAGCACACTGCAGCATAGCTACCGATTTGCCTCCAGGAGCAGCACACAAATCCAGAACCTTCTCTCCATCTCTTAATTCCAGAGCCAGTACTGGGATAAGAGAGGCAGCATTCAGGAGGTAGTATTTTTTTAGGTTTCCAATCTGGTGTCTTTCTGAAGGCATCCTGCTGGGAATTCTGCTAAGGTAACACTTCATTGATTTAGGATAATAGGGTAAAGATTCTTAGTGTGTGGTAGCCCTTCAAATGTAAATCCTTTTCCAGTTCAAAAGGGTAATTGAATCGGTTAAAAAGGATAGCATGTTGCCAGCATGATGGAGATGTTAGTATATCCCTAGAAATAGAAAAACAAAGGAACATTATTATATACATCAACACACTTTTATATTACTGAGTGAGTGTAGTTCTAGTTTTACACTTTACTCAACTGATATTCAGAGCCAGAATCAGTATTACTGACTTTTCCTTTCACCTCAGGCTCTTCATATGACTCAACCCAGCACTTGTGATCCTGTCTGTATTTAAATCTTTGATAGTTTGTTCATCATGGATTGTTTTCTTTTGTATCAATTCTGGCCATTAAAATATAACATGTCTCGATTACCAAGTTTTAGGTGCCCCTTGAATTCTGCACCATTGAATAATGCCATATTTGCTTCAGCCTAGTCCCTCCCTGCAGAATATCTTGCCAAAAAATACATGGCCTGCCTTTACATACCTCTAAATCCATGAAAACAGATTTTAGTCTATCACTCTTTGCAGAAGGAAGTGTTTTTATTAGAGACAAAATTTAAAACCTGAGACTAATATTAGAAGGAAAAGTACTGTCATTAAAGGATGTTTAAATTAGGGGGTGTTAAAGATTTCCTTATGAATATAAAGGTATGGAAAGCTAACCAGAGTGAACTCTACAATAACAGAGTTAATGAGGCGATCAGTGGCTCAGATGATACATAAGGGCAGTTTAAAAATCACTTATGGATGGATGGTGTAGGCTCTCCCTCCTCCTTCCCCAGCAGATTTACCTACCTCAATTTTTATTCAGTCCGACAGTTGAATCTTTTGACAATCACAGGATTACATCAACTGACAGATGATACAGCAGGAAATATTTATTTACGAGCTGACCTTTCCAGCCAAGATATTTGGGAGCCTCATTAACCATGGTCAATTAAGTAAATTCCAGCTGCTACTCACCCGAGTTGCCTATGTGAGGAATGGCTGGATTGAAATATAACACCTGTGACTAGAATATGCCATGTGAATTTCAATCAGGAACTAATACGTAAAACTACTTTCTCCTTTCACTGTCTCTAACTATGATGATGCATCATGAGCCCAGTGTATCTGTTGCAGCCATTCTGGAAGATGACAACCTTCCTTTAAAAATGCGCTTCACAAACTTTAGCGTGCATCAAGCAACTGTAAAAGGCTGCTGGGTCTTAATAACCCTGGAGTTTCTGATTTAGTAGCTCTGAGGCAAGGCCTGAAACTAGCAAGTCTTCACATGATACGGATAATTGCTGTTCCCCAGGACCACACTTTGGGAACCACGACATTAAAATGAACCCTAAAGGGAAATCTGTGAATACCACTGTTGTAAATCTTAATTATCAGTCCACTCTAATCTTACCCTCTAAACCAGCATTTTGAGTCATGTAGTAACAGAAATAATGGTCAGAAATGTAATTAACACAAACTGGAGTGGCTTGGCTTACATCATGTGTCCACCTCTTAATGAAGGACAGGGCATTTTCAATGGGTTAATATCTGACAGGGCAAACCTCCATTCTTTTTTTTTTTTCCTTTGGAATTTCCAAAGCCATTTTAGAATGTTCTTTCAGATAAAATTTAGAATTAGTTGGTCAATTAATTATAAAATATTTGTGTAGGTAGATAGTAACTTTGACTACGATTATAGTAAATACATCAAATTTGTGGAGAATTAACATCTTTATTGCCTACAGTCTTTCCAACCCTGACTCCTCCATTTGCTCACATTTTCTTCCAGATCTTTTAGTATAGGTTATTAATCTTGCATATTTCTTTTTAACCTTATTGTATAAAAGGATTATTAGTTTAGGAACAGTTCCAATTTTTGTATATTATCCAATATCTTGAAGGATGAGGAGGAGTTAGCCATAGGATGCAATGAGAAAGGAAGTTCCAGGGGGAAGGCAACAGCATGCATACAGGAACAGAGGTATGAATAAGGGCAGTACATTCAGAGAATTAAAAGTAGTCTGGTGTGGCTTGTGGCAGATACTTACACGGGTCATTGTAATACGACAAACTTTTTAAATCTTATCTTGTAAGTGTTGGGAAATCATTGAAAGTACTCTAGGTGGGGAGAGCCTAATTAGATTTAAAAACAAGTACGTATGGCAGAATGAGGCAAAAATCTTCCAAAATTACTCTTGAACAAGATTAAAATAAGGCCTTGTTTAGAACAAATAACTTTTCTGATCACTCCTTATACTCAGCCCTACCGAACTTCTTGAATCTCCTGGACCAATTTTCTTTAGGCTTTACCAGGCTCACCATAAACTGCTCCCCCTGCCTAAAATGACCTTTCTTCTCTAACTCACCCGTAGCCTGGCTGACTCTTCCACTCTCCACTCAAGGGGCAGTTTAGGCTTTATCTCCCCAGAGAAGCCTTTCTACCTACCACCCAATCCACCCACCATAATAATAATAAAAATTACTGATCAGATATTTACAATGTGCATTTCGCATGCTTACCTCATTTAACCACAACAACCATGAGGGGCTGTTCTTACTCCATTTCAGAGGTAGGTAACTGAAGCTTTCAGATTTGGCAACTTACCCAAGGGCACATCACTATGAAGCTTAAGTATCTGATTAAAAATCCCACTGGTTTTAACGTCTAACAGGAGTATGAGACTCTGGTACTGGAACACTAAAGGTATACAAAAGAAAGGAGCAAAGAACTTACACCCCAACCCTCACCTAGTGCCAGTGGCCCTGGCCTTCCTCTACTGTCTCTATCTATGGCTCTAACCATAGCAAATAGCTTCACACAGTCTGCCCTGAGGACCAGTTGCAACAAGGCCAACTCAATGAAGGGACTGCAAAGGCTTCCTGGGCTTGTGCTTCCTGGCCCTGAGAAAGCAAAGTGGTATATTAATGTGGGTCTCAGCTTCCCCAGCACCCACCTGTTGGTGATCTACCCTCTCCCGAACACACACACACACACACACACTCCAGTGCTTTCACAGGTGGGACGACAACCTGGGGCTGGCAGGCCAGTGGCTACTCAAGTCCAAAGCTCTGAGTAGCCCAGGAGAGAGCAGAGCAACTGTACCTTAGAAGACTCATGAAGACACTGGCCAGGCACCACATTCCAGGCCTCCTCCCAAGATTCATGAGGAGGAGTCTGAAACTGCTCCACTTAGTAGTCTCCAAAGCTGGAAGTACACCAGAAGCCAGAACTGGGACCCAAAAGGTCAGCAATCTGCAAATTTTTTGCTAGTATATCCATTGATGTCATTTTGGAAAAAAAAAAAAAAAACCACTATGCGCCCTCTGGGACATTCTTAGTTGACATCAAAATCTCCACCATGTTTCAGAATGTGATTTCCAGCATACTATCAAAATTGACATTTTAAAATACAAATTATACCACTTTTTCAAATGTATCCAGTGAAATCTAAATACCAGAGTGATTTTGAAAGTCATCATTGTACATTTATAAAATGATGGACTATCCTTGAACCGGAGGGAATGTTACAATGTTTCTTTTTTATTTACATCCTATTTCCCATGTAACTTTATCCTAATAGATTACTATGCTTGAAATTTTTATTACCTTATTATATTTCTCTGCAACATACACACACACAGTGTATATACTAAATTTGCTTTCACTGTGCCCGTAAATCTATAAACATTAAAATGGTAACTTCTGAATTCAGTTATCAATAAAATTATTAGTACAAATTGATCAAAACAACTTATTATAGACTTCATAAATATAAAAAGGGAAAACTGATAGAAAATGGATCTCTTAAAGAAATCAGTGTTCTTTTTCTTTAATTTTTTTTTTTTTAATTCAGGGATGAATATTACCTAGAGCTATAATGAACCAGGGTTTAACATCAATATTACTCTTATACTGTTTTTATAAGTGTTGAGAAAAGCCTTCACTTAAATAAGTGGATGACAGTTAAAATATATTTTGTTATAGCAATGTCTCCCTTTTGTTAAAGTTCTGAGTTATAAAAAACAAGGAAAAAGAAAGAAAAAAAGAGTCTGTTATATTCTCAAATAGCTTAATGACCTATCTTCAAAAATATTTTAAATGACCTGTTAGCTGAAAACTCAGTTGGAGCTCCTTTGTTTTTTTTGAAAGCAACAAAATTCTCTAACCTGTCAAAAAATTTGTCATTTATTTTCTTAACCCTTAAAATAACATTCCAACAGTCTCAGGCACGTAGAGGTTTTGACACCTGAGGGAATGCAGTGTGGAAGAGTCAGGATGGCAAAAATGTGCCCTTCTTTCTAAAGTGGGAGAGACAATTTATAAGGGTAGATTGGGAAAAAATAAGTACCCCCTGAGGCACAAAGGAAAGCCCAGTAATTTACTGCAGGAGCATATATGGAAGTTGAGGATCTAGAATTTATTTTCTGTAATTTGCCTGTGCCTACATATCCCTTGAAAAACTGCATGTTTTATTTGGACATTATTTAATTATATGATTTGTATTCAATTTTTCTGTGACTTTATTCTTTTCTCTTAGTATTATAATCTCCATTCTACATCCCTGTATAATGTGCAAGATATTGCTAAACACAACCGGTATAACTCTGTAGATTACAAAACCAATTAATTTTCATAGCTAAAAAAAAAAAAAAAGAAAATCTTTTTATTGCTATAATTATCCACCAGAGGGCGCTCATTCAATCATTTTTAAAGTCTGGTTTAGAAATGAAGAATCAATCAATTCACGAAAGTGCACCAAAGTAAGTTTTTTGAGCCTTTTTGTTTATTCTTTGAAGAGTCTAATGATAAGCTAATTGCCTCCTATTGTTTCTTGGCATTGTTTCCTTGATGCCTCTCGTAGAAAGGCAATCTAGGTCCCTATCTGCTATCCACAGTATCTGAGTAAGTCGTCACCAGTGAGTTTGTTTCTGGTGGAAACGACTAAAGGCTAAAAACACTGCCCACAGAAGTCCCTTACATAAGGAGATGTGTGCTTACACTCCCAAGGCTGGGACCACAGAAATTTCATGACAGCACACTTGATAGAGGAAAAGGCACTGACTTCCAAGTTATAAGTGTGGATGGGCTAAAAGGGGCTATAGTGACTACTTCACAGGGATTTGCACAGATTAAGGTTGAAAATGTGTGTAAAGCCAACGCAAGGGAAATAGAAATCTAGCTACCAGTTCATTTCTGTTTTCCCCAACTACCTCACTCCAACCTGCTTCACAGATTTTTATAATGCAATCTGATTATATATTTCCCCCTTTATATGTGAACTATGTGAACTCTACATTAGTGAGGACAGTGTCCAAATAAAAAAAAATTACAGACAGACCACACTTAACAGTTCATAAAGATTTCCAATTAATCTTCCCCTCGTATTTGAAGGCAGAATATATATAATCCATCTCTGCATCCCCAGTGCTTAGCACAATGCCAGGTATAAAAACACTGCCTAAATTTTCAACAGGTAGATGACCTGCCCAAATCTTAAGGTATTGGCTCTTCAAGATCCTCCATCAGGGAAGAGACAAGCAAGTTACTAAATTATCAGAAGTGACGGTGGTCTTGGAGATTCCCTGGTGACGATTTACTCAGATACAATCTTAAAACAATTACAACATCTGTATCAACAAAATGCAATGGAAACACGAAGGACAGAACTAATTTTGCCAAGGGTATATGGGACAACCTGACGGAGAATTGGTTAATGAGAGTAACAGTAATAAAAACAGTGCTAACACATTATGAGGGCTTACTGTGTCAAACACTATTCTAAGCCCTTTGTGTATATATATATATATAAATTCATTTTATCTTCCCAAATAATTATATGAAATACATACTATGTTTCTTATTTTACAGATAAGGATAGTGAGGCACAGAGATGTTAAGTAACTTACCTCGGTTATATGCTATAAGATGTAGAGGTGAAATTTGAACCCATATTTAACCACACCCCTGTACAGAGAAAGAAGAGTCATTCCTGGCAGAGGGAACAGCATCTCCAGTCCCAAAAGGATGAAGGAGCTTGTCTAGTCATGATATCTAGTCCAAATATAATACTGCAGATAGCAGCGGAGTTAAGGGAGTGTTTACTCTAGTGACACAATGGAATATAGTGGCATTAAGCAGCAGACTGACACTGCGGATTGAACACACTCCCATGGCTCTTCCAAATATAACATGAGTATCTTGGGCAGGTTACTTAACCTCTGTATGTCTCATCTTTCCTATCTGTAAAATAGAAATAATAACTACCCCAGAGGGTTAAACAGAGGATTATGTTACTATTTGTAAAGTGATTGGGACACTGTTTGGCATTTAGTGCCATAAAAGTGGTTGCTAAAATAAGCAAACACATACTAAAGGTGGGAGACTATGGAACAAGGCTATTGCAATATGCCAGGTAAGACATGATGAAGGCCTAATTAGTGAAGATAAAAAGGAGATCCAAATTAAGAAGTTTCTCAGGTACAACGAAAGCATTTGATGGGCATTTAGATCTTGATGGGGGCAGGGTGATGGTGTGTGGTAGCCCGTAGTTAGGGAATCTCCAAGACCACCCTCACTTCTGATACCAACTATAAGTCTGGAGTCCCCAAAACCAATCTCAGGTTTGGTTATTAGCTATCAGGATACAGAGAACTCAGTGTTATACTCATGGTTATGGTTTATAACAGCAAAATGATACAGATTAAAATCAGTCAATGTGAGAGATGTATGGTGCACAGCACAGGAAAGGTCACAGCATGAAGCTTCAAGGACAAGGACAAAAGTTATTCTTCTGGACAAGAATAACTTTTTCCTGCAACAATGTGTGACAATATACACAGGAGTACTGCCAACCACAGAGGCTCACTAGAGCCTTGGTGTCTACATTTTATTGGGGCTGTCACACAAACATGACCGACAGCCCATTTGGCTGATCTTCAGACTCTGGCCCCTCTAGAGGATGGAGGTCAAAGGCCAGAGGCCAATCTAATATCATGGCCTATAGCCCTCAACCATAAATCATATTGTTAGATTTTTCCCATGTGGCCCAAGCGCCCAGGTAAACAAAGACACTCTTAGGCAGGACATGCCAAGGGCTTAGAGATTACCTCCAAAAGCTAAGGGCAAATGTCAGACCTGTTTTTGATTAACATTCATTCTTTACTACACAGGTTATGAAGGTGTGGAGAAGGAAGGAAATTAGATTGATGGGGATGCCTTAAATTGAGATAAAGTATGCAAGTAGCAAAGGATATCATAGGTTTGGAATGAAAAAATAATAATATGCTTTTGTGTTTGCCTGGTATGAAACTAAGTGAAGTTACTACCAGAAAACACTTAGAAGTATGGAACTGAAACTTGAGAAGGACTGCAGAGCTTGAGATGACAGCACATTGAGAGAAGATTAAAGTCATGCCATAAATGGGCTCACCTGGAGGAGAACATGTCAGCAACAAGTAGAGCAAAAATTGAACCAGTGTAAATTCCAACTTTAGGGCTGCTCAGAGGGTGACTTGGCAAGAAAGGTTATTACAAAAAAATTAAATTAAATTAAATGAAAATATTGAGTTAATTACTTTCTAGGTAAGACGAAAATGCATTTGTCTTTCCCTGGAAATAAACTCTGCGAAACTGAATTGCAAACACAATATTATGTCTTGTAAATAAACAGTTAAAAAACAAAAATGTTTCTGTTCTTATTTCCCTATGCCATCTTCCATGCTAAGACTACTTTCTAAGCTGAGAAATCCTTTATTTTGCCTATGGCAAATTTAGCACATATTTATGCAAAACTTAAACTACCATGAAAATCCAACAAAAAGGTAGATGAAGCAGAAGCACAGCTAATTAAATGGATTTGAGGTTCACTGCTCATTTTGTTTAGGGTCAAATACTAATTTATAAATCTGTCTGAGCACATTCCATACAAAAACTCATTACAGGGTATGGGTAGCCAGATTACTACAAAGTCTGAAGACAATATACTTCTTGAAATCTATTTTTTTAAAATCACCCATGTATGCCTAATTACATCACAGGTATGAGAGGCATATAGAATAAGGGTGAGCAGTGGAAGTTCTTGAACCAGAGAGCCTGGGCACAAATCCCGGCTCTGTTACTTACTAGATGAGTGAACTTGGGAAAGTTACTTTAACTCTGCATTTTCCTCAGGTGAAAAATGAGAAACAAACCTCATAAGTTTACTCTGAAGATCACATGGCACATAATAAGCACGCAGTAGGTATTTGGTTTTTTGGATATTTTATTTGGATACTTTTGCATACTAAATTTATTGCGCACGTCACTATTCACTGTTTATCCTGTCTTCTCTATGATAGAAGACACAATTTTAAAATCTAGTTTTGAAATAAAAACAACTATAAACATTTCGTATTACAAGTTAATAAGTATTTACAAGTCACTAAAACAGCTTAATTTTGTCTAAAATTATCTCAAACACTTCAGACTTTGAGTCAAGACAATGTTTTTTTTTTTAAATGCTTAAAACTGTCCTTAGTAAAGAAATTCTTATTGAGTTGAACCAAGAAGACATAAGTTAGACAATTATCGACCAAGTTCCAGCTGTTGTCTATAAACATGTAACTTTTTTCCCCTGAGCAAAATGTACTGGAGTTTCGCCCCTAACTTCATAAGCAGTGCATGCTCTTCCCTCAGCCTAAAATGACTGGTTCCTTTTGCCAAGGTAACTCCTATTAGTCACCAATACATGTCTTCTCCTCCAGCCTTTGCTGGCACCGTCAGGCTTTGTTAGTAAGACCGGGTACTCCTGCTTATATTTTACCAGGGTACTTATGGAATTGGAAGTGTATATAGTTTTAACCAGGCTCCTCCTCCCCCATGGACACCAGACTGAAAACAAACTGAAAGTGGGGACTGTCTTGCTCTTTGAATTCCACAGGGCACCATGTTCTATGTCAGAACTTAATATAGAGAAATATTCTGATGAAAGGCAAAACTTTCTCAACATACAAATCAAACATCTCACTTCTATGGATTAAATGTTTATTTGTTTTCTGTAATACATTTAAAGAATTTTTGTGTTCAAAACAGATAGCCACAGACACAGGGAAGAAATATAATTACCAATAATGTAACTTTAGCTGAGAAAGCAGCACTGGCTTTAAAGATTTATTGTATTATCTTCTGAATTTCAGAAACTAGTCAAATATTCTCAAAAGTTTTAAGATTTTTGTTACAGTATAATTAATTTTGTCAAAATGG